ATGTTTTTTAACACCTTACATTTCTTTTCTGGTTTTTAGCTCATGCACATGCACTATTTGTACCATTGTAAAAAGTAATAATACTGAACATATCAAAATGATTAGTTTTGTTTTTCTTATTTTNAGTAATAATACTGAACATATCAAAATGATTAGTTTTGTTTTTCTTATTTTGCATTATGTATTTGGCCTGAAGTACTGGAATCACAACAAGAAGCCATGATGGATTGTGAATATATATATATAAAAGGTACAAGACATTTTGTATTATGTATCATGAAATAATAATTTTCTTACAGATAAAGCCCCTAAAATAGTCTGAGTACTCTTATTTTGAACCCACGCTATGAAATCATTTTCCCTTGTGTTTAGCTTTGAACCCACACTATGAAATCATTTTCCTTTTCCTTTAGCTAGTTTGAATTCAAATGAACTCAATTATATTTTGAGTTGCTTTTGTAAAACAGAAGTATTCAATACAATGCTTCGTGGGAAGGCAGCATGTCTGTCAGTTTCCTTTCATTATGTACCATCATTCAAGTAAAATCCAACAGCATGAAGGAAATGGTCTGACTTGGGGGGAAACTGGTCATTTATGTGGATCTAATCAACTCCATCCACACTTGGTCTAAGAATGGGCCACAGGGCAGAAATGCAGACGGAGGCTCCCTAGGAGTCTGGGGTCTAATCAGGGAGAGCTCCTTACATGGAGAACATGCTGGGTCTGGCCTTGGACTGAAACCTTAAGAAGTCAGTGGTGAAATCACAATGATTTGTCGTGTCAGGAGTGGACTCGGGTTTACAGCATGACCACAGATGGGGCCTGATTTGGACATCAGGGTGTGACTTTAACCTGAAAAGGGGCTCCACCCCTGACACTGGCTGCACCAGTTAGATGTGACCAGTCCTCCTAGGAAGGCAAGGCCCCCCAGATGTTGGCTCTCAGAGCAGAGACCAAGAGGAATGAAGCATGTGACTTGAATGTGCCCTGAGGTCAGAATGTGAGAGCTGAAGCCACAACCTCAGTAGTAGAACCCTGCTTCCCTCTGAGACTGGACGGATGGAATCCAGGACATGGACCCCCATCCTGTGCCTGTTGGATGGGGAGAGGGTGGGACACCTGCTCTTCAAGCTCATGAGTCTGAGCAGCCCTCTGCTATTCACCCATCACATTGTCACCTGATGTTAGTGCCCCAGTAAGCCTTGCTCAGATTGACTGTGAAATCATTTTTTCCCTTTTAGAGAGCTTATATGACTTCGTATACAACAGACTCAATTGCACAGGTGAGATCAGGCCTCCAAATCTCTGCTCTTGTGAGAAACCAAGCATGTCACATCTGTCCATGAAGCTTGGATCAAGGATTGGGTCTAGTGTCACCCCATCTACACAGAGACAATGAAACCAGGAAGGAGCAGCCTCAGAAAGTCACAGATCATGGAAGATCCCAGGTGGCTGGTGGAAAGTCAGGGATGATCTTAGTGCTGCAAGTCCTATCTGCTCCTTCCTTCAGGGTCATGAGCGTAGACAAAGATGCAGATATGAACATCCTGAGCATAAAGTTCCCAACTTGTGTAGGAGCTCATCAGAGGAACTATACAAAGAAATGATGAGGAAGTCGGGTCACACAGTCTAGAGTATATTTGATAACAATCACATGTGCTTGCAGAAAGATCTTTTCATCCATTAGCTGTGACCCTTTGAAAGTGAGCAAAGTTGGCTGTGGTTTAACTGTTATCATTTACTTGCCACACCCCACCTACTCCTTGCAGAGTCCCAACCAGTAGAGGCCAGCTTGAGCATTTTCCACGAATCAACCACATTCGACAGTGCAGGTGAACAAAGAAACCTGAGAAAATGAAACCCGGTCAACACATCAGCACATCAGCCCCCTCCTGCTGCCACGCAGACTGTCAGCCCCAGCCCCACTGCCCTTCCCTTTCCGCCCCTCCCAGGCCAGGGCAGTCCAGGGCAAGTTGGGGCAGGAGGTTGCTGAGAAGTTGGAAACCACAGAAGACATGCCCAGCAGGGCCCTGACTGTGACATCAGCAGCATCAAACTTTCAGTGATTTGCACGTTTCCCTTTCTTGCCTTCTACACTTAAATACACTGTTTTTTCACAGTGAAGAAATAGTTCCAAATCTCTAAGACCAGGGCCGCATATTTTGTCTAAAGAGGTCTGATCAGATTCCTAAGAACCAAGGAGTTGATCTGGACTTCCAAAGTGGCTTAGCGGTAAAGAATCCATCTGCCAATGCAGGAGACTCCAAGTTCAATCCTTGGGTCGGGAAGATCCCCTGGAGGAGAAAATAGCAACCCACTCCAATATTCTTGCCAGAATAATCCCATGGGCAGAGGAGGCTGGAGGGCTATAGTTCATAGGGTCCCAAAAGTGTCAGACACAACTCAGCGACTAAACAACAAGGAGTTGAGTAGATTAGGTTTTATCTATTTTCATTTGTCCAATTAGCAAAATCCTACATTTCACAACAGTCTCCTGACATTCACTTACTTTGTGATTGGAAAAAAAAAGGTGAAGTGAAAGTTGGTCGCTAAGTCGTGGCTGACTCTTTGAGACCCCATGGACTGTAGTCCACCAGACTCTTCTGTCCATGGGATTTCCCAGGCAAGAATACTGGAGTGGATTGTCATATCCTTCTCCAGGGGATTTTCCCTACCCAGGGATTGAACCTGAGTCTCCTGCTTTAGCAGGCAGATTCTTTCCACTTAACTTTCACTTTCACTTTTTTTCCATAAAAATGACAAATACATACAGTCTTAATGATATAAAACACTATTATGATTTCAGCATTTTAAAAATAGTAGCAAAATGTTTAAGATAATAGTGTATTATGAGGGAAAATTATTTTATAAATTATTGTACATTAACCTAGCTATTCAAGCATCTCTGTAGATTTGCAGAAAAAGAACTCTAGGTTGTGTAAGTACAGAGAAGTTCAAAACAATACACACTGTATACTACCTTTGAGTATAAAGAGGGAAGTTAGAGTATGTATACATGCATATATAGTTATATGTACACTCATATTTGGTTTTTTTTTACACTCATATTTGTTATAAAAGATTCAGAGAAAGAAAAAGCATAACATTAAAGAGGAAGAAAGGTAAACACAATGGTTCAAGCAAGGTTGCTTGGTATATTTTTTAGTGTTTTGACTGATTTTTAGGTCCATGCAAAGATATTATCCAAAATTTTTGATGGATACTATAATGAAGATTGGCTTCCCTGATAGCTCAGTCAGTTAAGAATCTGCCTGCAATGCAGGAGATCCTGGTTCAATTCCTCAGTCGGGAAGATTCACTGGAGAAGGGATAGGCTACCCACTACAGTATTCTTGGACTTCCCTTGTGGTTAGCTGGTTAAGAATCCACCTGCAATGTGGGAGACCTGGGTTCGATCCCTGGGTTAGGAAGATCTCCTGAAGAAGGGAAAGGCTACCCACTCCAGTATTCTGGCCTGGAGAATTCCATGGACTGTATAATAATCCACCTGCAATGTGGGAGACCTGGGTTCGATTAGAAGGGAAAGGCTACCCACTCCAGTATTCTGGCCTGGAGAATTCCATGGACTGTATAATCCATGGGGTCACAAAAGAGTTGGACACGACTGAGTGACTTTCACTTTCATAATGCAGATTATTTTTTCAATGACACTTCCTGATTGATGTTCCATTTCTAAAAATAATCTACATTTTTTAAAGATGCAAAGTGGTCTGTCACATGACATCATTTATTTTCAGTTTCTTATTGAGGATTACGGTTCACTAGGGGCTGCAGTAAATGGTACTACAATGAATGAACATCCAGGCACGCAAATTTAGTACATACATTCTGTTTCCTTGTGAAATTGGTAAGTGGATGGTGGGTCACTATCAGAGTAAAGCACATTGTACACTTGTATAATGAGTTCTATGATGTCTTCTTGTGCCTGAGATCTGAGCTGGCAATGCTGGAACTATTTCAGTCACTTGATGCCTCAACCTGGCTGCACGTTAGAATTTTATTTAATATTGAAGGAGATTTTAAAAGTCTGATATCTGGGCTATGATGAACTCTCATTCTGGTAACTTTTTTTTCTTATATGATTAATTACTTTTTATTTATTTATTTACTATTATTATCTATGTATTACTTCAGCTTCCCTAGTGATTCAGTGATTAAGAATCCACCTGCCAATGCAGAAGACATGGGTTTGATCCCTGGGTCAGGAAGACCCCCTGGAGAAGGAAATGGCAACCCACTCCAGTATTTTTGCATGGAGAATCCCATGGACAGAGGACCTGGCAGCTTACAGTCCATGTGGTTGCAAACAGTCAAACATGACCTAGCAACTGAACATGTAGGCATGTACTATTTATTTATTTAGCAATATAATCATTTATTTACAGTTATAATAAGAGAGCCACTGATACACTGAAAAAAGCGGCAGGATTTAAGTCCGGCAGACCTGGCCCATGTGGACTCTGCACTGCTCTGTATTTAACCTTGGGTATTTCCTAGCCTCTCTGGGACCTCCTTCTTATGAGTGAATTAGAGATATGAGGTAACAAAATACAGGCACAGAGATCAGAGAAACTCGGCTCTAAATAATTACTACTTACAAAATGGTTGTAGTGAGCAGATAACTCCACCTCTTCCATCTTTAAACTGTGGACTATAACTGTACCTTCCTTCAGGGATTCTTAGACGATTCATGAAATTACCTAGTGAAAGATAGTAACTGAATCCCTGTTTTGTCCACACCTAACCTGTGTGTGAAGGAAATGAAATTAGAGATGATTCTTAGTGGCTCCGTGTTTGTGTGGAACCTACTGATTCTACAGTAGAGATACCAACAGTAGAAACTAGTTGTTGTTGAGGACTTGCACGGATCAAGCATCACTGACTCATGTATTCCACATGCCCCAGGAGACAGGGTTCTGTAACTTCATTACACAGATGGGGGGATGATGGCACAGCACCTCACAGAGTCCTGCTGAGGTCACACGGATCCTAATACAGGCCCAGGGTTCAAATGCGGGCCTTCGATGTTCAGTTTGCATGCTTTACCCTCCACCTGAAGCTCCTCTGGTGCCGGAGCAGTTCTCATGGGGTTAATGTGAGGATCAGCAGGCAGTGTTTGTGAGGCTCCAGCACAATCTGAGCACACACGGTGCAAAGTATGCTGGGTGTCAGAGTATCTCCAAATGAATGTCCCAAACCAAGGAGTCTGCATCTGATGACTTTGAAAGAGAAGTCACCAGGTGGGCCCCTTCCTTTAGCTGTGGCTCGCCTTGGAACCAGTGCCCCAAAGAAAGACCATGATCACTTAGACATAGAAACATGGTACTGACCATTATTATAACCATGCTGAATTCGTCATGTTGTTTGTCATGCTGTTTCTTATCTTGATTAGATTTCCTGAAATTAAAGTACACACAGACAAAAATGGACTTTTTATATATTTTTAAATTTTATGCCTATTATGAAAATTAAAGTTCAGAGTTCAAGCAATAAAGCCGGCAGCTCCAGGGTGTAGGGCAGGGAGGGTCAGGGTCGTGGTCTGGGTGGATGGGCTGATGGAGGAGACGGGGAGCTGCCTGCTGTGTGTCCTTGGGAGGCCTGTGGATTCAGGGGTGGGAGGAGCTGCTGAGGATGTGGGGACAGTGGTGGGAGAGGCTCCTGGGACCAGCCCTGGGCCCTGCCCCGAGTAACGGCAGAATTCCTTGTTACAGAGTCAAACTCTCTGTTTGCCCAATGACTTGAAAAATTGTTACCTAAAAGTGAAATAATAGATAAATACACCTATGAACTGAGACAATCCAAACCCAGCAAGAAAGTAGAGAATTTTAGGGATAGATGATGAAGGAAAATTGACCCTTTTGTGGTCCCCTCTGTTACGAGCTCTTTCCATCACAGCAGATGCCTCTTCTAAACACACAGAGAAGGTGATGATGACAAAATAGACCACACTCTTGAAGATGAGGAAGAGGTAGGTGTAATAGGCAGAGGTGTTCATGAGCTGTACCTGCAGGGTAGCTAGGAGAGGTCATTTTGGTTAATTTCAAGTGTTCTTTTGAGAGAATAGGATATATTAATGGAAGCAGTGGTCACAACTATTTATTTCCAGTAACCTAGTGACACCTCTGCACCATCAAACCCCAAAGAAAACAAGTACAACCATCATGAGCACTGTCACCGCCAGACCAATGCAGAACCCACTTGACAATTCAAGTCAATCAACAACCTCAGCTAAATTCACTAGATCCTCCCAAAATATTAAAAAGCATTCATTTTAAATGAATGAGTCCAATAGAAAAAAGTATTTTTGATAAATAGCATTTAGCCTGTTTTTGCCCCCACCACATCTCTGAGTAAGAATAATAGGTAATAGTCATTAACCACTAATCAAACGTCAAACACCTATTCTGTGAGCTTTGTATGTAAAATTCTACTCTTATTTAAGTTTTAAAATAATCAAAGAGATTATTAGTTTCAATCCCATTTTACCAGTAAACTGAACACAGAAATAATTTGCCTGATGCCTTGCATTTAAAAAGTACAAGAAACCACATTTCAATTGCAGCAACATGACTGAAGAACACAGCTTTAGCTGCTCTGTAATCCTGCATTTCCATGTGCAATCAATACTCCAGACATCAGAGTTAATTATAAATATGAAGTTAAATTGCTGATTTGGCATCTGAGCCATTAGATATTGTGCATCAATGAGATTCCTAAGAAGAAAACAAACCATGGAAATCAGGTGGGGTTCACAGTCTTGTGAGCAGGGGCTTTTAGTAAAGAGGCTACTGAAGATAATGGGTCAAAGTCTTGGTCCCAGGTCCCTGAAGCTTTAGGAGCTCAAGCCTCACTCACCTGTTTTTCTTCAATGTCTAACATCACAGCTATCATGTTATAGGAAAATTGCACTTACTCTCCTTTGAAGTTTTGCAAGAAATATATGATGTTAAAAACTAATTAATTAATTAAGTGCCAAGTGTGACACATTATAACCCAAACCTTCTCTCCTTTATGATAATCATCACTATGAAAGTTACTTGAATTCTTATTTTTTTCTGATCACTAGAAAACTTAAAATCTAAGGACAATTAAGTCCATAGTTATACTAAACCAGCACTTTGCCTGTTTGCTTCCCCTTTATTTCTTAGCCACAGAAATAAGGATTCAGGGCTATTTTATAATCTTACTTTAAAGAGTCTTATAAAAGATACAAAAAACCCACAATGAATATATGAATAAATACACCTGTGTTATGTTTTTGAAAGCAAGCATTTCCACTGTCATTACTTCACTTACTCTTCATTGCAGTCCCAGGACAAAATGTTCAAAGCAAGTATTTGAATCTAATTTGATCACTGGACAAACTAAGGATCAGAGAAACTTACTTCAGAAATATGGATGGCCCAGTGCAAAAGTCTCTGTACATTTTATTATATTTTGGGCATGTTTCCCACTGTTTAAAAAGGGTTTTTAACCAGAGGGAAAAATCCAAACAGATTCCTTTTTATGGGCCCTCTAGGACCTTTGGGCAGTTGTGTTCATATGAAGGACTTTAAGTGATTCAGAACACTTTTGAGTGATTACAGAAAGGCCATATACTCATTACTGTAGGACATCATCCTGGAAGAGTAATTCACCCCAGTGTGTTCATCCACACATCTCTTCAGGCCTGGTGTGTGCTAGCGCTGCAGTGAGAGTTGTGGGAGGAATTTTCCATTAGCAAGGAATACATTCATTATATAGAATGTAAGTCTCTACACTTTAGCCTCAACCCATTTTTGTTTACAAAATTCTACCTTATGGTGGTATATAAAACACAAATCTTGAAAATGTAAGACCATGGATCATAATAAAAGTACAGTAGTCGAATTATTCCACTTCCTGTTGAGCTGCAATCTGACTCTCTCATACAAACACCATTTTGTCAACAATATGCATTTCTGGATATAGTTTGAGTAAGCAAGATTGAAATGAGGTGACTTTGCTTGATAAGCAGAATATTCACAAAAGACCTAATTCTTCTTACTTCCTGATCACGTAAGATCAACAACAGTGGAATTTCTTCTTGTGTGCTTTGCTGGCGAGCTGCAGTCCATAGTGTTGCAAAGAGTCAGACACAACTGCTAGACTGAACAAGTATGCTATGAACACTATAGGTGCTTCCATATACATTGTTTTATTTAAACCATATAACAATCCTAAAAGGCATGATTATAAACTTAATATTTTGGCTGATGAAATTAAGATGGGTAATATTTAAATACATTTATCTCTTTATTAAACTTCAAACTCTACTTTTTCCATTCTCTAAGGACATAGCTCAACATTTTAAAAAAGATTTATATTTGTTTTTCATTAACAGACAGAAGATGTGGGGTAATCCCTTTGAAAAAAATGTTTTGGGAGGCTGCATTCAGTATATAGCCATACCTTGACTAACTGAAGGAAGAAAGATCTCCTGATCTTTTCCTCTTTTATTTTTCTCATGTTTGATGTATGTTCTTTCTCCATGCATTTTTCAGTCATGGTCAACCAGCTGAACTTCAAGTATGTATCAGTGGTCTTCGTGGTGTTTCCCTGTTGGGATGGCAGAACTTTGTTGCCATTTTTTTCTCTCCAATAAACCTTAATAACATGAGCAAAAAATTCTCCAGAAGACAAAGGTATGTTCCAGCATTATTGCGGTTGATTTCAGTAATTGAAGGAAGAAACATAGTGGGCTTGGGTGGCATGCCTACATCAAGGTCTCTATCTGTAGAGGAAAATAAAGTAGTCATTAAAAAGAGTTGCTAGATAAATACAAACATTGTGTGGCTTGAAATAACCCAGCAAGTGATAAAAGAAGGGAAAGTCGCCACTGAATTACAGCCTGGCTGTTCACCTGCAGGGGATGGTGAGTCATCACTGTTCTTATTTTCAATGGGAAGAGAAATTCAAGCAGTCATGTAACTTGGAAAACGTCCTAGCTACTAAGTAACAGAGGATAGATTACATGTTGGCCTTTGATCTTTCTCCACACGTTAAAGTGAGGTGTGACTTTTAACTGGCACATATCAAGGCTTCCAACATTCATGAACACATTTTTAAACAATTTCTTTTATTAGCAGAATCGACATATATACACTACTGCGTGCAATATAGATAACTTGTGAGAAGTTGCTACTTGACACAAGGAGTCCAGCTTGGCTCTCTGTGATTACCTAGAAGGGGGGTGAGGGGAAGGGAGGAAGGCTCAAGAGGGGAGGTGTTATATGTATAATTATGGCTGATTTGTGTTGTTCTATGGTGGAAACCAGCATAACATTGTAAAGAAATTTTCCACCAATTATAAAATTTTAAAAGCTAGAAAAAAAATATATTAAAAATCTCTTTTATTCTATCATAGGGGAACCTATTTTAGGGTGGGTAAGTGGTATGGTGGGAGTGGGTATACAAAAGGAGACCAGATAACTATTATGATCTCTCTACAGGACATACAAAAAACATACATTTAAACCTCATTTTTCTCTCCAAGTGGGATAAAGCAAGCTAAGGAAAGACAAATAACTCAAATTCAAATTTTTTGTGGATGAGTATATAACTATTATTCTGCTACATTTTTCAACTTTTACATTTTTTGCTTACTTTTTTTTGTAGAGGTAGAACAGACACATACCTTTCCTACCTTTGAGAATGAAATCTTATCCTGTGCTTCCTGCTAGGTCATCACAGGCCTCTTTCCTTCTACTTCCCTGAATGACTTTGATCTTCTAGGCTTTGCCATGTCTGTACCTATGTTTTTTATCTTGCTGCTGCTGCTGCTGCTGCTGTTAAGTCACTTCATTCGTGTCCGACTCTGTGCGACCCCATAGACGGCAACCTACCAGGCTCCCCCATCCCTGGGATTCTCTAAGCAAGAACACTGGAGTGGGTTGCCGTTTCCTTCTCCAAGGCATGAAAGTGAAGAGTGAAAGTGAAGTCGCTCAGTCGGATCTGACTCAGCAACCCCATGGACTGCAGCCTACCAGTCTCCTCCGTCCATGGGATTTCCCAGGCAAGAGTACTGGTGCTATTGCTGGAGTGGGGTGCCATTGCTTTTTATCTTAGGTCTTGTCAAATAGATTTCAGAAACTAGCAGTTTAAATAAAATAATAGTTTGTGCATTATAGTTTGTTTCCTTTTCTGCCCTGGGGGTTGATAATTTAGTAAATTCTAACTCCAATATGGCAGGAGGAATCAGATAATATACTTGCAAATCCTAATTCTTTGATAAAGATACAAAATATACAGAATTTAAAAAGAATTGTGCCTGTTTTAAAATTGTGTCTATATTGTTTCAATACTTACAGAAATGTAGAGAGTAATTGGTCCTGCTACCTTGACACGGAGGTGACTCCCAGCAAACGACATACAGTATGAATATATCGAGAACTGAAGAGCTGTCCCTTCTCTGCCTGGGCTGCTTGGCTTACATCTGTTTCTATCTCACATCAGTTGGGAGTAGGGTTTCACCTTTTCTTACCATTTTGCTTGTATGTTTTAAAATCTCCTTTCAAAAGCTTTCCTGTATAAAATCAGTTCTTTGCTGAGAGTGTGATGCGGAGTTAATGTGTCTCTACTTATCAATGAGGAATATTTATAGGAATAATATACTTGAGCATTTAATAAATGTATGTTCAATATGTTTTCCAGGTATTTTTGTGATTTGTGTGTGTTGAGGTGTAAGCATCTAAAACGATTCTAAAGTAGCTTCATTCCAGAATCCAGTCCTCATTTAGGAGACCACATGAGTTGTTACAGACTTTTTTTTGGAGTATAATTGTTTTACAATGTTATTTTAGTTTTTGCTGCCCAGCACAGTGAATCAGCCATGTGCCTGCATGCTAAGTCACTTCAGTCATGTCTGACTCTTTGCGACCCCAGGGACAGTAACCTGCCAGGCTCCTCTATCCATGGGATTCTCCAGGCAAGAATACTGGAGTGGGTTGCCATGACCTCCTCCAGGGAGTCTTCCCAACCCAGGGATCAGAACCACCTTCCTGCATTGGCAGGCAGGTTCTTTACACTAGGACCACCTGGAGAGCCCCATGTATAAATATACCCTCTTCCTCTTGAGCCTCCCTCCCATCCCTCCATCCCACACACCTACGTACAATGAAGTTTAGTACAAATGCTCCATTTCTTTTAAAGCTTCAATATTTCTGACAAATATGATGCCAAAACAGAAAGAAAATTCAATGCAATGGTGTCATTCTATTGAGATACACTAAGAATCCTATTTTGAATATTTAATAAATCTATATTCAATATGACTTCCATAAACTTTTTAGGGGGAAGAGAAGTCATTTTAGTGCCATGATTAGAAGTAGAAGCATTGTTTTCACAAATCAGTAGTAAAACATCTTATGAGCTAATTGGAAAACAGTGGTTCCTACTGTTAGGAACAGTTAATACTCAGAATATAAAAATACGACTTAAATATTTCTCACATGACTTAATTGTCCAGACCATGCACTTTAGAATAGACAAGTCTCTACCAGATCCTAAACTTTGCAATGTAATCTGTCATATAATTTTAAACAAGTACCAGAACTTCTCTAAATCTGTTTCCTTACCAACAAAGTGGGAATAAGAAGATTTCTGTTGAGGAAAGAGATAAGGCACTGAAACTACTTATCATGGTGTCTGGACCTCAGAAAATAGTCGCTAATATTAAAATATTTAGCAGGATAGTTTAGGAAGATTTCCTCAAATGCTTCCATCAAACATAATAACTATTACACCAACTAGGAAGAGAAACAAGCTAGTCAGTTCAAGAACTCCTGCCTCTGAGCTACACACCATAGAACACGGGTCCCAACCAAGCCAGAATCTAGAATGCTTTCCTAGAATAGAAGCTGTTTAAGCATTAGAACTTGTTCTATCTGTGTCTTGTTTACTCTTTTATCTCAGCATCCAGCACAGAAAATGTCCTCAATAAATATTTGTTGAGAGAATAAGAAAATGAGGATCCCCAACCATGCAGACCCTTTTCGTGGACTTTGGAGCTGAAATGGCTCATTGAGCTTACAAATTCCATGAAACTGGTCCATATGCAGGCAATGTAACCAGATATGTGACTGCAGGAATTTCAACTGATCTCAGGTTCTCTCCAAGAAGTTAAGTGGAATTTATCAATATCTATAGTCATTTACTGTAGGCATTTTTATGCACTGATTTTAGGGATGAGATGAAAACCAATAATATAGGTTTTAAAGATTATTGTGAGATAGGAGCTCTGTGCTTTATTTCAAACTTTAGAGGACAAATAATTAAGAAAAATATTTCTCACTTAATATAATGTCTATAAGAAAAGAAACGAACCAATAACTTTTTACCAACATAATGATATAGTATATTAAAGGTGTAAGAATATTGAAACATAAATGAAACAATAAAGTAAAATGTTTTACTATCTAATTTTAGTCCTGTGTGTGTGTGTGTGTGTGTGTGTATTTTAAAAGGAGAATTTCAGTTTACATCCAAACAAAGAATAAATTAGTTGCAAAGTAATTTAGTTTCCCTACACAATGACCAGTAGCTACAGAATTGCTATTCTGTTGAGGCCAAGAATGTGACAGTCAGATAAAAGAAATATTAATTTTAAGAAAAATTTGTCAGTCTTTTATAACCAAGGTAACATTAGAAAAAAAGTTACTTACAAGGGAGAGCTACCATGAGCTCAGTCACTTTTCCAAATATTTTTTCCTTCCTGAACTGTCACACTGATTAAAGCTCCTACAAAAGTCTCAGCCTTCTAAGCTTCAGGCCATGACAGCAGTTTGTCCTGGCAATTTGGTCTTCTGGATTGTCTTGGAAGTCCTTGAACATAGGTTTTAGAGCATTTGATGTTTTACAAGTTTTCCTCACCTATGGACCCAAATGTTTGTTTTCCTTGGAGGAGAAATCATTGAAAATACAGATAATAGATGAAAGAAATAAAAAGAGAAAAAGAAGAGTTTGGACCAACTGGTTACTCACCTACTTTTCTACGTTTCCAGGAAAAGGATTCAAAGAATGAAAACTTTTTTTTTTTTAATTTCCAGATGTTCAACTCTGTTGAAACTGCTCAGAAAATGCATCAGATAAAGTCCTCTGTTCTCACAATGACCAGGGCCAGTCTGTTAGCAATGTGGGAATGTATTTCTGAAAGGATTTCAGTAACTGAAAATGCAAATATACCATCACAAGTGTATTTGTGAAATGTGAGCAAAGTTCTTCATTTATTGGGCAACAAGATTCTTTACCATGCCAACACACGGTGAGAAAATAAGTCCTGTGATAACTTATTTTTCCTAGGATAAAGAAAGAAATTTGCAGAATTCTTTCTCCTTTGTTCTTTACTGAAACTAAAACTTGAAAGTAATATCCATTTCTCTGATATGTTGAAAGCAATTAGCCTCCAACTAATAAAAATAAATGAAAAATAAAATTAAATTAATCTCCACTAAATAAAAAAATAAAAGAAAGTAGTCTCTTGGAGGCTGTTGTGTAATCTTAAACCATTCATCCTAGATCATGGGGAAAAGAAGTTGCCAGAAGCAGCTGAGTGTTCCTTTGAGCACAATGAGCTGACCATCTGCCAGGCCCCAGAGAAGACAGGCCCTGACTATTCCCACGTCCTCACTAGATCCACCTGGTCCCATCTGTAGTCCAGGGAGCTGGCATTGCTTCTGCCCTGAGGATGAAGGTAAGAAGAGGACATGGTGGGCAACTGCTCATTCACAGCAGCTCACATCCCTCAACATAATAGGAGAGGAAGAGAGACCTGGACGAATATTTTGTTTAAAACATTTTTTTTGTAATTAAAAATTAAGTTATTCATGCTTTCAGTTGTCAAATACTCTTTGCACCTATGTAGATTTGAATGATACTTACTCGGTACCTCTCTGATAACTTGTGATCTGTTTTTTCTTATTCTAAGACCATGAGTTGAATTGTCAGGAGCTTTAGGAGTTGTACATATTTCAAAATTTATAAAAGTTTTGAATAATAAAATGCAAAATATAAGTACAGAGTTATAAAATCATTTATTTAATCATTTATTAACTTTTAAGGAAATATAAGAACTATAAAAAGAAAGAGTATTAAATATTAGTAAAGGGCATTAAAATTAAACCTGAATAAATGAAAGACATATCATAGTTGTGAAAGAAAAACTCAAAATCATAAAGATGCTAATCTTTCCTAAATTCATGTATATGCTTATAATTCCAATCAGAATTAAGAAAATATTTTGTTTTTGTTCTATGGTATAAGCATTGGGGAGTAAGCTAGTTAAGTTATATAAATATGAAATAATTAAAAAAAAATTTTTAAGAATAACAATGAATAAACATTTAGCATAGCAAACCTCATCTACTATTGCAAATAATGTGATAAGGATATAGGAATATTGAGACATAAATGAAACAGAAATCTTCCAGCCAATACTCGAAGTATATACTGAAATAAAACTACTACAAAAGCATGTTTAAATGTTGGAGAAATGATAGATTATTTTAAAACTAGACTTGAAATATTGGTTATTTGTTACAAAAACAAAAATAGCTTTCTATCAAACACCATATGTTAGATTTATATTTAAAAGCGTCTAAAGGTGTGAGCTAGAAAGAACAAGAAGGAAACTAATTGGGTCCTTGAGTAGAGAAACTTGGAATAGAAAGATGACAAGAGAACAGGAGACATACTTAATTTTTAAGAAAGAAGAATGTAGACAATCTTTCCTTTCTACAGCATTTCCAAATCAGTATTTTTTAAAAAGAATTCATTACGAGAAGATACTGAAGATTGTAGAGAAAAGAGTGACATGACCAGCTCTGAGCGTTAGGAAGATCAAGTGCAGGAAGGTGAGTTGCTCAGGGGAGCAATCCCAGGGAAAGCAGACATGTTTCAGAGATGGCCCTCATAAGCAACTGCGAGGCATCTGAGGACCCAGGTTACTATAGTGACAGAAAGGATGGACAGAAGGACTGGTACAATAAATATTAACATGTTTGTCAGAATTTCTAAGGTATTCACATGGGAAAATTCAAATTATTAACAACGTTGAAAGTAAAGAAACAGATGTTTTAATATCCCAATAGACACTCTGTGTGGTGGAGCTTCATGGTCAAGATTGTAGAGAGACATCCCATCCTTCAGGAAGATTTCAGTCACCTCACAGCAAACCAGGGTAAAGAGGGAGCTGGGTGCAAATATTCTATTTGTTCCTGTGCCAAGGAGATACAGGAAGTTTGAAATTTTGGGATGTTCTTCTCCAAAGACCTATTCTTTCAGTGTAGAAAATGATTCCAGAAGCAGTTTTACTGACCCCTCATACTGGTTCAACCATGCCAAATGTGACAAAAGTAGACCCTCTCATTTTCTTATTTAGTGAAGTGAAAGTCACTCTGTTGTGTCTGACTCTTTGTGACCCCCATGGACTGCAGTCCATGGGATTCTCCAGGTCAGAAACAAAAGTAGACCCTCTCATTTTCTTATTTAGTGAAGTGAAAGTCACTCTGTTGTGTCTGACTCTTTGTGACCCCCATGGACAGCAGTCCATGGGATTCTCCAGGTCAGAATACTGGAGTGGGTAGCCTTTCCCTTCTTTGGGGGATCTTCCCAACCCAGGGATCTAACCCAAGTCTCCCACATTGCAGGCAGATTCTTTACCAGCTGATTTATCACGGAAGCCCTTTCTTATTCAGCTACATATTAATTTAAATGCTCTAACTCCACCAAGACTTCTGGCACCTCCTTGGTGCTCAGCACTTGCCGAATGCTTTTGGCAGCAGAGAGGAAGCAGAGAGTAATGGGCCTATCTCAGCCAAGGCTGTGGTTTTGTCTTCCAGCTATCTGGGCTCCAAGTGGCTCCTGGGAGGAAAGCTCATCGTGGAGGACTCCTGTCTGTCTCACTAATACCCTCTTTACTCAGGGCTGAGGCCTCAGATAACAATGACAAGCACGAATAGTCATCAGTGTGTGATAGGCACAGGTCTAAGTTCTCCATATGTATTGACCCAATAAATCTTCCAGCAATCCTACAACAAGAGAGCACTTATTACATCCTTTTAATTAATGGAGAGACTGAAGCTGAGAACATTGAACAAGGTTGCTGTATGTCTTGTGTGGGTACCTACACATTTTAGAAAAAGGAGTGTCATAGGTGGAAAGGGACATGCTCCAACACAGTTTTTAAACTGAGCACAGGAACTCAGTTAACACTCTGTACAGCTGCTTCCAAAATCCTTGACTCACTTTTGAATTTTTTCAATGTGGTGGCCGCCTCCTCCATGAACTTGTCCTCCCCCAGCTCAGGCAAAATGACCTCTTAGTCACACCATATACCCTAATTCTCAGGTTCTTATCACAAAGGATTTTCCATTTCTGAGCAGCTCTCAGGCTGTTACCAGTGAGGTCAGGAGTGTGTCCAAAAGAATTTCAGTGAAGAATTCCAGCAAAGAAAGTGGTCAAACCAACCTATCAATTCAGTGCCCATGACTGAGCTGGAAGTCCTCTACTGTCTTTTCCTGCCACCTATGGAAACTATTTCTGTCCTTCCCAGCAGGGTGAAATGGAGTGGTGCAGCACCAAACATGATAATCAAAGGGCATGTCTTTGTGTTCCATCCTGATACTCTTCTTTGGCTCAATAGAGCTGTTAAGCCTACTTTTTCTCATAAAAATTCTTATAACTCAGATTTCAGGAAAAATTTGTTGTATAAAATATTCTCTGCAGGGAGTTCTTTATATTACCCCCATACCCAAAATCTGAATTCAAAGCAGATCAAAGAAATAAATGTGGAGAAGAGAATCTAAACAACATTGGAAAAATATAAATGACAGTAAGTTTATGCTTCAGGCTTTCTGAAGTTCTGAAATAGTTAAAATACATGGTCCCTGGTCCAGAGGGGCAAGTTCAAATTGGCTCCATTACTATCCAATCCCTTCTTCTCTGCAGTCACAGAAGTGAGAAGGACCTGAAACTCTGACTTGTGGTTGTGGGATTCTCATGGAGAAGTGTGGTGACCAGGGAGAACAGAAACATCCAGGGTGCAATAGAACAGGAGGGATTCTGGGTTGAGGNTATCCAATCCCTTCTTCTCTGCAGTCACAGAAGTGAGAAGGACCTGAAACTCTGACTTGTGGTTGTGGGATTCTCATGGAGAAGTGTGGTGACCAGGGAGAACAGAAACATCCAGGGTGCAATAGAACAGGAGGGATTCTGGGTTGAGGACAAGCCCACAAGCAATATTCTAGAATGCTTTCCTGTGTCAGGCTGGGAATCAGCCCATTTCAGAGGGAGGCATGTCACTTTATCTGTTACTGTTAGCACAGCAGTTCTTAAAAATCAACTTGAATAAGAATCAGCTATGGAGCTTAAGAATCCGCCTGCAATACGGGAGACCTGGGTTGGATCCCTGGGTTGAGAGGATCCCCTGGAGAAGGGAAAGGCTACCCACTCCAGTATTTTGACCTGGAGAATTCCATGGACTGTATGGGGTCAGAAAGAGTCAGACCCGACTAAGCAACTTTCACTTTGGGGTGGAGCTTACTGAAGCCTCATTTCCAGCTGTCAGTCCAAGATTTGTGTTCATGGTGTTGAATGCAACCCAGAATGTGCATTTTTACTCAAATCCAGATATTTCTGATACAGGTGGTCCATGGACCACAGTTTAAGAAATACTGTTCCGATAGAAATTTGAAGGATCCAGTACAAAAGAAACATATACATATGAATCTGGCATTTCTGTACTTCAGTATCAATTTATGTTCTTAAACTTAACCCAATAAGAAAGCCTCAGCCCTTTCTTAATTGACCTTTCAGTTGAAATAGATACCACTCATTGTCTGGTTGTTGACCCAAATTGTTTGTCCAGATGAATTATTGAGAAAAATATAATCTGATAAGTCTCATTCCAGTTTGGGATTTGGTCATATCAAAGTAGGAGGGAGGGTGGAAAGAATCTCTGGCTTTGCTTGTTTAAAACAGAACAGTTCTGGCTCTGGGCTGAACAGAAGGTGTAAGAAGAATACAATGGTTAGCCCAACTACAGCAATCACCTTTTTCCTACACTTTCCCTGTGTCGGCCATGCCCTGGTTGGTGATGTAAGGAAAATATCAGTTTGTTCAAAATATAAATCAGATACCAGCTTGAAGTTCAGAAAGTCCAAATTTTCATTCCATTTTTTCTCATTCTTCATAATCCTGAATAATGTAGGTGCTTCATTCCCTGCCACCTGCTCTGGATAATGACTGGATAAATGATTCAGTATAGCTAATCATTTCATTCTATTCTCCTAAATATCTCCAGGAACAGATCAATCCTAGGTGCCCTGTCTGTCCTAAAGAGAAGGTGAAATAGACTCCACTAGCTCCTAGGGGAGCTAAAAGAATATGTTGCCTGGCAGCTGCTTGCCTGAGGCCTAAAGGTGGGGACCTATTTTTAGGAAAAATGTGGCTTCTGAGAGGAGGGGTGAGTAGTAATTGAATATAAATGTTGGGGAATGGGCATTGAACTCAGGATTTCTCTTCCTTCAGAGTAAAGAGAATTGGGGGCAGTGAGTGAGGCAAGGGCTGCTCTATACTGTGTATCATGGCTGGCTTGGCCGTGACAAGCAAAATTTCCAGTGCAGTGTAAAGGCAGTCTAAACCAATGTGCTTCTCCCAGGCAGCACAGTAGTACATTCCAGAATCACTTTCTTGCAGGTTTGAGATTGCAAAAGTATAGCTCTTCTCTTTATAAACTTTGTACTTCCCTTCACTGACTCCTGATTCCAACGTAACCTTTGAGTAGGAGATGTCGTAGTAAAGAAGGCGTTGGGGAGCTGTGCCCTCCTGGTACTTGTATAAGTGGATATATTTGAGGGTTTGGGTAATAAGATCACAAATGATTTCAACAGACGACCCAGACCCAGTCGCCTTAGTGATTGACATCTTCTCCCCTTCTGTGTTGGAAGACACCTGTGTGACTGAAATTGGAAAAGCAACAAAAAATAATGAGGAAGAGGAAACACCATTTCTTAGTATAACCACCTCCCGCCCCGCAACACACACACGCCGTTGCCACAAAACACTGAAGAATCCCCCCAACATTCAGGCAACACACTTACCAGGAGCCAGGAAAACCAGAAGCAGCGCTGGGACCCGCATCATGCCTGGGACGGTGAGCTGGACTGGGTTCCCAGTATAAGTGGCAGGCAGGTCAGGCAGTGAATCTCTCTCTTAAAAACCACCAGGCTGAGCCCAGAGCGGGTGGGGCTGGTTGGGACCTGGGGAGGAGCCCCACCTCTCTGTACCAACGCCTTTCTGGAGGGCCCCCCTGTGGCAGGCTGAGAGCAGCCACCTCCCCCACAGGAGGAGAGAAGCCTGAGCTCCGAGAGCTCAGAACTGCAAGCAGAGGGATCAGATGGAAGGGCAGGCAGAGAAATGTGGACAAGCTTGCCTGTGGCCTAGTGGAGTGAGCAGAGCTGAACTGGGCTAAGTTCCCAGCAGTTCAGTGTTTCAGTGTTAATGTTGATGCAGTGGTCTTGCCCAGTGACTAAACGTCTTTATATTCTTTCCCTGAACTATCATTCCTTTTACACCTGTAAGCAAACTCTGAGGCAACAACTAGCAAACCTAATAAGAATCAAATCTGCCTTATTATAAGAAATTAAGATCATTTATGTGGGTCTACATTTGATTCTCCTTAAAAGTTAGTGGAAAAAAAATGAAACAAACAAAAAAAAGTAAATGGATGGGTGTTTGTGTGCATGTCTTATAAATCAATTTGATGGAAGATTTATGTTCAGTCTCAAGTAAAAGTTTGCCTCATATAGAGTTTCCAGATTTCATTTTTAAAAAAAAAGCTTCGCAGTATTTTGAACAAACTGAAACTAAAAAGACAGTTTTCATTTATTTGGAATTCACGGAAATGCAAATCAAAGCATCAGTGAACTATCACCTCATCCCTGTCAGAATGGCTATTATTAACAAGGCTGGAAATAACAAGCGTTGAAGATGTGGAGAAAGGAGAACCTTTGTGCACTGTTGGTGGGGAAGTAAACTGGTGTAGTGCTATGGAAAACAGCATGGAGCTTCCTCCGTAAGTTAGAAATGGAACTACCACATGATCCAGCAATTCCACTTCTGAGTGTTTATCTGTTTATCTGAGTGTTTTCGAAAACAAAAACACTAAAATATATCTAAACACCTATGTTCATTGTTTGTAACAGCCAAGACTTAGAAACAAGTCAAGTACCCATCAGTGGATGAATAAAGTCGCTGTGGTATATATGTATGTATAATTACCAATACGTGGCCCCTAATTTCCTGACTGCTTTCCAGCTCTATCTCTGGACTTGCTCTTTTTCTCTCTCTGCTATTCTGCTTCTCTTCTCCCCCGTTGTACCGCTCTTTATATCCCTCTGTCGGTCCACATCTTTGCCCACAGATCTTTTCCCTTTCCTATTGCAACCCTACCAAGGCTCCTTCTCTGTCTTTTTTTTTTTCCAGATCTGACTTCTTCCCTTTCCCTCTTTCTCTTTATCTCTCCTCTGTTTTAAAATTTCCTTCCTCTTCTCTATTTCTGTCACTTTCTTTCTCTCTACTTGTCTGTCTCTAACACCTATCTTTTCTTTTCTATTTCTCCATTTATGACTCAGGGATTTTTACCTCTCTGTTTCTACCTCTCTTTCCATTTCCTCCCATGGTCACTGTAACAATTTTAATTTCTCTGTTAATCCAACATCTGCAATATCTCAGGATTGGCACCTATTAATTTACCTTTCCATATTAAGATGCTGAGATTTTCTGAGTCCCCTATAAGTTGAGTAATTGGGGATTGTATCCTGCACATTTTGGATATTAGGTTATGGGCTCTAGGCTGTATTTTTAAATACTGTGGCAAGTGCTGAGATTTTTTGTTAGCTAAGAATTGACCTAGTTATGGAATGTAAGTTCCTACCTGCTCTTGAAGGGCAGTTCCAAATACTGCAGTCTTTGAGGACTTTGCAGTGTTATTCACACTGCATTGTGTGTACCACCGAGAGTAGTTTCAAAGTAAAATGTATAGAATATGGTTGTGATTCTATAACCATACCTTTCATAATGTAGATTTTTATACACATTTTCCTTAGAGGTATAAATCTGTGAATATTGAAAAATACCTCAGAGTCCCAATAACCTAAATAATGATGACTTAATTCATTTTGTTGACTGAACCAGAATGTCTCTGTGTCAGACATTAACTACAAACCCTAACTTCTGCAGGCAGCGAGGATAGCTGTCCTGGGAGGATGGTACTGCCCTTGTCTCCACTTACAGGGAGACAGGTGAGACTGAGGGTGAGTGACTGGTCCAGGGTCCCACAGCTGACAGGGGCAGAGCCAGGACTCAGTCTCCCCATCTGATGCCAGGATCCGCTCTGGTTCTGAGCAGCACGGTTGTCTCTGGAGTGTACGGGAGCTTCTGAGATGACAGACATGGTTCAGTCACAGCAGTTGGGCTCCATGTGCCTCCAGGTCGGAGCACATTGTTCAGTCCCTTCAAGTCATCAAAGGAAACCTTTTATTCTCACAAATTTGAGCAGATAAATATACAGTCAATTGTAAAAGCAGTAACTCTGCTTAAATATTTAACCAAAAAAGGAAAGAGTAGATCTTAAAACTTCGTCTTGGAAGAAAAAAATAATCTGTAACTATATACAGTGAGGGATGTTGACTTAGTATGGTGACCATTTCAGCATATATACAAATATCAAATCCCTATGTTGCATGACAGAGACTAATGTAACATTTTATATCAATTATATCTCCACTGAAAAATAATAAAAATTTTTTGAAAGAAGGGGAAAGTAGTGGACTGAATGGTGTAGCTGGGCAGCTGGCATTGGAGCAAGGGAACCGGCAGAGGCATCCAGAGTCACAGCAAAGAGAAGCCCCGCACTGCATCTGCAGTTCTCAACATATCTCAACCACAACAGTGTTCAGACATAAAGCAAAAATGCGGGCATATACAGAGCAGATCCTCTTCTAAAATGCTTTAAAACAAATTCTTGGGTGGCCTCAACCACGGTCTATGCAGCGTCTGTGTCACGGCTTATGTTTGGTACATGAACTTTGTTATAAAAATACAGGGTAAAAAACAGATTTTTGCCTTTTCATGTTACATTTCAAGTGTATTTTGTATTCTGTCCTTTTCTGCATGAAAAAAAAAAAAACCTTCATTGAAAGTCATCAGAAGACAAAAAAAATTCTTAAAGATGGAGTTTCCTTTTTGAAAGCTGAAATGAGGACACCCACTGCTGATGTTAGTGAATGGCTAGTAAAGAGTTGATTAACTGTAATTACCTCACAGACATGGTACCATACCCACATAAGTACCATATCCACATCCATTTAATCACCTGCCTGTGGCTAGTAAGATACCATAATGGTCCACCCTATATTCAGAGAGACTGAGTCTGATCCTTTAATGTAAAGTTGGAAAAAAGGCATATGCTGTGTTCCTAATCAAAAAATCTCTTAATATGTTTGAGTAGCATTTCTTTGTAAGTAAAATCTCTTTTTATTTTGCTTTGCAGAATGGAATTTTTTGTTTCATGTCTCAGATTTCTTTAGTATTTTTTAACACCCTACATTTTTCTTCTGTTATTTAGCTTATGCATATTCACTATTTGTACAACTGTAAAAAATAATAAAACTAAACATGTCAAAATGATTAGTTTTATTTTTCTTGTTTTGCATTGCATATTTGGCCTAAAGTCTTGGAATCACAACAAGAAGACATGATGGATGGTGAATACATACAAAAAGTACCAAACATTTTGTATTATGTATCATGAAATAATAGTTTTCTTATAGATGTATTCCCTAAAATAGTCTGAGTACTCTTATTTTGAACCCATTCTATGAAATCATTTTCCCTTGTGTTTAGCTAATTTGAATTCAAATGAACTCAATTATATTGTGAGTTGTTTTTGTAAAACAGAAATATTCAATGCAATGCTTCATGGGAAGGCAGTGTGTCTGTCAATTTCCTTTCATTATTCACCATCATTCAAGTAAAATCCAGCTGTACGATGGAGATGGTCTGGCTTGTGTGGGATCTGGTCATTTATGCAGATCTAATCAACTCTATCCATGCTTGGTCTAAGAATGGGCCACAGGACAGAAATGCAGCTGGAGGCTCCCTGGGAGGCTGGGGTCTAAGCAGGAGGAGCTCCTTACATGGAGAACACGGGGGAGGGGGAGCACCAGGGTCTGGTCTTGGACTAAGACCTCAAGAATTCAGTGGTGTCATCACAATGATTTGTCCTGTGTCAGGAGCTGACCCGTGTCTACAGCACGGCCACAGATGGGGCCTGAGTTGGACATCAGGGTGTGACTTTAACCTGAGAAGGGACTCCACCCCTGACACTGGCTGCACCAGTTAGATGTGGCCAGTCCTCCTAGGAAGGCAAGGCCCCCCAGATGTTGGCTCTCAGAGCAGAGACCAAGAGGAATGAAGGATGTGACTTGAATGTGCCCTGAGGTCAGAATGTGAGAGCTGAAGCCATGATCTCAGCAGTGGAGCCCTGCTTCCCTCTGAGACTGGACAGATGGAATCCAGGGCGTGGACCCCATCCTGGGCCTGCTGGGTGGGGAGGGGGTGGGACACCTGCTCTTCAAGCTCATGTGTCTGTGCAGCCCTCTGCTATTCACCCATCACATTGTCATCTGATGTTAGTGCCCCAGTAAGCCTTGTTCAAGTTAACTCTGTAGTCATTTTGTCCCTTTTGGGGCATTTACATGACTTAGTATATGACACTCAATTGCACAGATGAGAGAGCAAGGCCTTGGAACCTCTGCTCCTATGAGGAAAAAAGCCCTTCACATCTGTCCATGCAGCTTGGTTCAGGGATCAGGTCTGTGTCACCCTGTTTACACTGAGAAAATGAAACGAAGAAGTAACAGCCTCAGTAAGTTACAGATCATGGAGGAGCACAGGTGGTTGGTGGAAAGTCAGGAATGATTTTAGGGCTGCAAAGAAGCCCTGTCTGCTCCTTCCTTCAGGGTCCAGAACATGGCTGAGCAGCATCTGAACAGCCTATGTGTAAGTTTCCCAACTTACATAGGAGCTGATAGGAGGAACTTTATATGTGTAGAATGGGGAACCTGGACCCATAGCCTAGAGTGTTTTAATAACGATCACATGTTGAGTGTAGAAGG